CAACTACTCACGTGGTACACTTTAAAGATAAGCAAAATCATATATACCAATCAGAAATGCATAAATATTTATCCTATTCCGATGCAAATCTCTCATTATTTTCCTAAAGAAGAAGGATTTATTTAATAATACAATACACACTTGTTTCAAACTCCCTTTGAACAACTCAAGCGCCTAGTTTATATTTTAATTTTTCTATATAAAATCTTGATGAGATAAAATGCGCATGATTCAGAAATATGCACATGATTGAGGTTTCATGCGCACGCATGAAACCCATCTCTAACTGTGAATTACTGTAAAGTATTCTGTTATAGAATTTGCTAATATTAAGATTTAATAAAGTTATCATGATTTTCATCATTAGTTGTTGTAAGTTTCTTGTTATAAACTTGTATTTTAGTGATTATTTCTACCATGGGATATAGTAAAAAATTTTGCCAGATTTACTCGCTAATGCGGTACATACAGTGTTTAAGGTTGAGTTAGCTTGTATTGAAATTATTATGATTCATATTATTGAAACATTTATAAAGAACTTATTTGATATCCTGACAATTATAATAAATAATTAAAATTGAATTAGATAAATCAGAATTGTCATAATTTCTATGTGATTAAGATCATGATAGTATGTATTAAAACTATTATAATCTCTCTATTTTGATAACCAAAATACTTGGTTAAAAGTAAGGTAGTTTGTGTAAAATTGTGGAACTATCAAGATTTATCAGTAATTGAGTTAGTTTGCATCAGAATGCATCAAAATTATAACGATTTTTACTGAATAAAATTTTGCTACAGAGCTTACTCACCACTCTGACAAACCATAAAATATAGTTAAAATTCTGCCCAAAATTATGACTTCTATGTGAGTTTGAATTGTATGATCTATAGAATTCAAATAAAAAATTTTTTATCGAGTTTTGTCAGGTGGTTGTCGAGATATTTTTGCTCAAAATTTTAAAAAAATTGGCATGGTTTCTTTATGATAGACATTTTGATTTTGGGACACTTCAAGAACACAGAACCTAGTGATTATCACATAACATGTGAAATTATGCAATGACGTCATTTGTTTACTAGCACTAAAAAATTAGCCTAAACTATCCTATCATCTAACCCTAACACCAACCCTAACTTAGGCCAAACACTAACTTAGGCCAAACATTTAATCCTGTGATGTGATTATTATGAAAATATCATTGGGTTCCTTGTTCCCTTGATTTTTTCTAAAACTTTGAGATAAGATGTCTTGACAACCACCTGACCACATTCGATGAGAATTTTTTTATTTGAGTTCTATGGATCCATAAAATTCAAATAAAAGAATTTTATTGGGATATCTTCGCCCAAAGCTTTCGTGCTTTGATAGTGAAATGGATTTATCACAATGTGATTATTGATATGCATGGCTGATCACGTGGGTTAGGGTTGTTAATGGAGTACTCCAGACATTAATAAAACATATAACCCACTTCTGGAGTACTCTGGAGTGGGTTATGTGATTTACTATTGACTGAAGTGCTCCATTAAAAACCCTAACGTGGGTACAAGGCTTTAGCGGAGAGTTTTAATAAAAAAAATTCCTTGAAAAATTTTTGTATAAACTAAGCTTCTGCTCCATTACAGCCTTTAACACTAATCTTAATTTATACATTACACATTACACTGCAGCTCATAAACAAAAATTATTGTAGTGTAGAACACCACGGGTGCGATATAATTTTTGAAAATAAATATATATTATACATTATAAATTTTAAAATTTCGAATTATAGTTTCGGGATTTCGGTTAATTCCGATTAAGACCTCCCGAACCTAGTTTCGAGTAGGTTTCGTTTGTTGCCTACTCTAAACTGGTTGAGACTGATTACTATCCCTATTTGGTTGTGATACTTTATAATATACAGGTTTCACCAAAAAGTTTGTAACAGTATTTGTAGAAAAGGAAAACTTTCAATGTCACAAATTAATTATTTGTGTTCATGCATAAATACGAAAATATAAACACCGCATATTCCAGTTCACTTTATATGGTGGTATATAAGGTTTCTCTCTGGTATTATTACTTTAGGCACGGAAATAATAGATAATTTATCACTGCTATTTGTCTTGAACTTTAATATAAATTAATAAATTTTTAACCTTGAGTAAAAAATGTGGAATCAAAAAGTGAAATCAAGTAAATTAATTTTTTTTACAATTATATATATATGCATATATAAGATTTCTAGAATTGCTGGTTTTGTGCCAGATCGAGTAGGGCATGTAGCAGTTATAATTGAAGACCAAATTTATTTTATGGGAGGTTCTCGTATTATTCCACCCACAAATCCAATTAAGAGTTCAACAAGAATATATAACTTATCAGAAGAGATTTTTTCTATAAATCTTTCATCTCAATTCTCCACTAGTAGCCCTCCATATATAGACCTTACTGATCCATTTGCACGAATGAAATTCGGAAATGAAAAAGGTTAGCCACTTGATTTTAAATATTTGAAAAATTCTAAAATACTTAATATGTACCCATATTCTTTTATATAATAATTTGTAGAGATAGGAATTAGATTACAGGAAAATCTCACATGGCTTAATGAGATTGACAATAATATAACTATAACTTCAAATCAAACATTAATGATAGAAGTAATAAACGAAACATATAATATGACAGATCAATATTATGGAAAGTCTTGGTCATACCCTTTAAATCAAAAAGGACTGCCACCAGCTAGTCGTATAGAGCAGTGTGGAGTAGTTTTATATTCGGGGGGAAAGAAAGATATGAATAAGGTAAAAGGTTTTTATAAATATTAAAAGCAATAGTATATTAAAATTTCTTTTGGTCATATATAAAAATATATTAATTTTGTACCATTATTATAGATTCTGGGTAGTAGTATATTTTATTTGGAGGGAGAAAAGAAGTAGACTCATGGTCAAAAATACCTACTGCCTTTAGTTTTTCGTGGAATCCTCCACCTCATGACGGTTCAGTATTGTACATTGGTGGCTTCTCTCAAATTGAGTCTGGAGTGTATTTTGATATGAATGAGGTAAAAGGTTTTTATAAATTTATTATAGATTCTATTATTCGATATAATTTCTTTTGCTTGGTCATGTAAAGTATATGTTTGGTTTAATTTTTTTGATAGCTGCCCCGAAGTTTCTGATAATGTATATTATATTTTTAGTATCCACATCAATCAATCCTTATTCAACCTCGATTAGCGCATACAGCTACCTTAACACCAGACAATAATGAAATATTTTTAAATGTTCACTTTAATGATTTATATATACTTGAAACGATATTGTTATCGCGAAATAAGATTAATGCTCCTTCACCTCGAAGTCATGCTGTTCCAGTATTGCTTCCGAGTAGCAAAATTTTATACATTGGTGGCGTCTCTCAAATTGGGTCTGGAGTAGATGAAGACTTAATAGATATGAATGAGGTAAAAGGTTTTTATAAATATTAAAAGCAACAACATATTAGAATTTCTTTTAGTCATATATTAATTTTGTAACATTCATTATAGATTCTAGTATTCGATACAATTTCTTTGACCTGGTCATATAAAGTATGTGTTTGGTTTGACTTTTTGATAGTTGTCCCGAATTTTCTGATAATGTATATTGTATTTTTAGCATGCAAATCAATCAACATTTATTCAAACTCGATTGGCGCATACGGCAACATTAACACCAGACAATAATGAAATTATTATAATAGGCGGAACTTCAAGTAAGAAACATTCAACCTATTATTATTATTTTTCCTTTTATAAATTTAATACTAAACAATATTTTATTTTTAGGTTACCTTACCACTGCCACACCAATTTTCGTGTCGCTAAATATTGCAAACGAATCTTACAAATATTCCGAGCTAATTATTTCCGGTGACAAACCACCTCCATTAGCAGCTCATACTGCTAATTTATATCAGAATTTTCTTATCATTGCTTTTGGTGATTATATATATATTTATTAATATTGCTATTTATTCATAAAATTAATATTTACATTTCTTAAAAACTATAAAAACAATAGGCAATATTACTAATAATTCAGCACAACCAGTTGAAATAAACTCCCGTATTTATTTGCTAGATGTTCTATGCAAAAAATGGTTAACTTCTTTTACACCTGGTAGGTCAACCTGTAGCAATGACCGAGTATTGGTATTGGTATTATTGTTAGTTATGTCCTTGGTGGTATTATTATTGTGCTAGGTATTTTGTATAAAAAAGGAATTGTTGCTTGTTGTCATAATATTTATACTTTAAAAACATGGATGCACCAACTGGAAGAAGGGATTGGCATAAGTTTATTAAATCTAGGGCTTTCGAAATTGTCTTCAATTGTTAAAAGGTTAAGTTAAAAAGTCTAGTAAATTAAAATTTTTGTTATTAGGATTTACCAGTTATATTAAGATTACTTGTGTATTATCCATATTTGTAAACTAATAGTTCGTGAGTATAGTTTCATTTACAGATGGCCTACTTAAATACTACTAATAGAATTCTCTATTGAACATTACAGTATCAGGTAATGTATAAAGTTCATTCATAAATAATTAATTTTTAATTGGGATTTTCTATTAAACATAATATACTTATTGGAACCTTTATCGAATATAGTTTTTATATACATAAAATTATCGGTTTGTAAGTATAAAATTTATTCATAATTATAATAATCATTGAAATTATAATATCTTTTTATTCATTTACGTGATAGGGAGTGAGTACAAAAAATATTCATAAATTATAAATATATAAATCTATTCATTTAAATTAACATAATGATTTATGAATTACAGGGAGTAAGTATAAAATTTATTTAAAACCATTGATATAAACATTAAATTACACAGCATTAATCATTCACTACCCTGTTAAAAGAGAGTGCGTATTAAATAAAAATTTATCATTAATAACAAAAGCCTTTATGCTGAATTAAAGAGAGTTAGTATAAAGTTTGTTTCTATTCGCTTTTCAACGTAAGGTATATTATTACGTATTAATTAATTACTCTGTTAATCTAAAAGATAGTAAGTATAAGATTCAGTTTTGTTCATTTTTTGAAAGAGTTATATATAATATTTCTTTTGGTCAAATTGTATATGATCTTTACTTAAATTTCAAAAATATTACATACAATACGTAATAACACACCATACATATTGGTCTACTTGGATGTGCGAGCATTATACATGAAATGGGTTACGCTGAAGGAACATATATGGTTGGAAATTGTTATGAAAAAGGAATTGGAGTTAAAAAGGATGAATATAAGGCGTTTATTTATTATCAAAAATCTGCCGAAATGGGTTACGCTAAAGGAACATATAATGTTGGATATCGTTATCAATATGGAATTGGAGTTGAAAAGAATGAACATAAGGCATTCATTTATTATCAAAAATCTGCTGAAATGGGACTCGCTCAAGGAGCACATATGGTTGGATATTGTTATCAAGATGGAATTGGAGTTGAGAAGGATGAACATAAAGCATTCATTTATTATCAAAAATCTGCTGAAATGGGACTCGCTCAAGGAACACATATGGTTGGATGTTGTTATCATAATGGAATTGGAGTTGAAAATGATGAACATAAGGCATTCATTTATTATCAAAAATCTGCTGAAATGGGATACGTTAATGGAATATTTAGTGTTGGATATTGTTATCGAAATGGAATTGGAGTTGAAAAGGATGAACATAAGGCATTCATTTATTATCAAAAATCAGCAGAGATGGGACACGCTCAAGGAGCACATATGGTTGGATATTGTTATCAAGATGGAATTGGAGTTAAAAAGGATGAATATAAGGCATTCATTTATTATCAAAAATCTGCTGAAGTGGGACACGCTCAAGGAGCACATATGGTTGGATATTGTTATGAAAAAGGAATTGGAGTTAAAAAGGATGAATATAAGGCGTTTATTTATTATCAAATATCTGTAAAGATAGGTGACTCAGATGGAACATATAATGTTGGATATTGCTATCATTATGGAATTGGAGTTGAAAAGGATGAGCATAAGGCATTCATTTATTATCAAAAATCTGCTGAAATGGAACACGCTCAAGGAGTACATATGGTTGGAGATTGTTATCATTATGGAATTGGAGTTGAAAAGGATGAGCATAAGGCATGCATTTATTATCAAAAATCTGCAGAGATGGGTCATGCTAAAGGAGTATTTAATGTTGGAAATTGTTATCGTCTTGGAATTGGAGTTGAGAAGGATGAACATAAGGCATGCATTTATTATCAAAAATCTGCAGAGATGGGTGACGCTACTGGAACATATAATGTTGGACATTGTTATTTTAATGGAATTGGAGTTGAAAAGGATGAATATAAGGCATTTATTTATTATCAAAAATCTGCAGAGATGGGTCACGCCAGTGGAACATATAATGTTGGATGTTGTTATAATTATGGAATTGGAGTTGAAAAGGATGAACATAAGGCTTTCATTTATTATCAAAAATCTGCAGAGATGGGGAGCGCTGATGGGACATATTTTGTTGGATATTTTTATCAATTTGGAATTGGAGTTGAAAAGGATGAGCAAAATGCATTCAATTATTATCAAAAATCAGCAGAGATGGGTCATGCTAAAGGAACATTTAAAGTTGGAAATTGTTATGTTAATGGAATTGGGGTTGAAAAGGATGAACATAAGGCATTCGTTTATTATCAAAAGTCTGCTGAGATGGGCAATATTGATGGAATATATAATGTTGGATATTGTTATCAATATGGAATTGGAGTTGAACAAGATAAAAATAAAGCATTTATTTATTATCAAAAATCTGCCAAGGTAGGGAATACTAAGGGAATGTTTGCACTTGGAAACTGTTATAAAGATGGAGTTGGTGTTGAAAAGAATGATAATAAGGCATTCATTTATTATCAAGATTCTGCTGTGATGAAAGACGTTTTTGGAACATATATGGTTGGATATTGTTATGATAATGGAATAGGTGTTGTAAAGAATGAATATATGGCATTCATTTATTATAAAAAATCTGCCGAGATGGAGGATGCTAGTGGAACATTTGCTCTTGGAAAATGTTATGATGAAGGAATTGGAGTTGAAAAGGATGAAAATAAAGCATTCATTTATTATAAAAAGTCTGCAGAAATGGGGCACGCTAAAGGATTATTTAATGTTGGATATTGTTATTTTAATGGAATTGGAGTTGAGAAGGATGAACACAAGGCATTCATATATTTTCAAAATTTTGCAGATATAGAAGATGCTAAAGATACAAATAGTGTTGGATATTGTTATCAATATGTAATTGATGTTGCGGATGAATATAAATTAATCTATTGTCAAAAATCCACAGAGATGGAGAATGCTGTCGGAACATGTGATGCTAGATATTGTTATGATAAAAGAATTGGCATTGGACATGATAAACATAAGGCATATATTTATTATCAAAATTCTACAGAGATGAGAAGCACTGGTGGAATATTTAATGCTGGATATTATTATCTTAATTGAACTGGTGTTTAGTGTTTGTAGTTGATTAAATTTTATAAGTTTAGTATTAGTTGATTAAATTGTCATATCAAATAAGATTTTCACCTATTATCTTGCTAACTAATTGAAATCCAATTAAAATATATTTATTGCAATTTCATTTAAATTAAATAATTATATATTTTTTTTGCTATCTAATTGAAATTAAATTAAAGTATTTGTCTATTTATGCAATAGCTACTTTAGCAAGTTGAATTTTCAAACAATTTCACGTGTTAAAGCTTTCATTATACATTTGTTATTAATCTAACTTGAATTATTTAAATTTTTTGACAAACTATATAAGCTTATGAGTCTATATGTATATTTCACTAAGAATATGTTTAAAATAAATTAGGGGTTTAAGTTAACAAATAAGTGGCGCTATTTTAAATTAAATGAGAGTTTGAAAAATCTTATTTGTTTTTCACGATTTTAAAATCGGTAAATGAAATGTGAGTGTTAGGGGATCCCCATTTCATGAAATTGGAAATTTTGGTTTCCACAAAATCCCGAAAAACAGATTCCCGAAGGGACTCATAGGAAGACATTCATATGATTGGTTAATTTTGTAGATCTACCCGTGATTTCCCGTGATAATTAACCAATCAAATGCATAATTTTTAATTAATACTACAGTATTAGAAAACGAAAGAAACTTCGTATAAAGAAGCTTACAAACTAATAGTCAAAGGTTTAATTTATATCTTACATAGTAGATTCTATAATAGTTTGGGTTTATTAGTAATAAATATCATATTTATCTACTTTATGCGTATCTATCTATTCCCCTACATATAAATAATAAATTCTTTCGCGTGTATTTATTAATTTACGGTTGACACACTACAAGAACCGACCAAATTTAAATATTAAACCTGGATCTTCTTTGCTAAAGAGCTTGTACCTATTGGAATTAAACAGTTAGAAATAAAAGTTTATTTAAATCTAACGTAATAAAATAGTTTTAGACGAAGACGTTTCACTATACAGTATAATTTGATATAGTCCAATAAGCGGTAGGCATGTTTTGTCTTCTAAGTAAAGTAAATGGGGAAGACGATTCTTTTTAGATTCTTTTGTACAGTGAACATTGACGTTCGTTTAAAGCTAAGAATGACTTTTGTGACAATTTTTTATTAGTGAAAGTTACGTTCTCAAAAAGTACTCTATATAAATAAGTTACCCGGGTAATTGATTTACATCAGCCAATCAGACGAAAGTCCTCCTATGACGAAGGGACATGATAAGACCGGGTTGGGTAAAATCACCACCCAAAAAAGTTCGATCATCACGTGATAAATATGTTGAGCACCAAAAAAGTCATTTAACTTGAACAAACAAAAAATTTACAGACAAAAAAATAATAACGATAATCAATAAATTAAATCATTTTATTTTTTCAAATAAACCCAATAAACGTAATATTTATTAGTCATAAAGTATTATTATTACGACTTTTTTAGTATTTGGAATATTCCATTGCCTTTTAAAATGATTATAATCCTCCTTCAATTTATGCAATGGCTCAAAATTTTTATTATCGACCCATTTGTTGCTATTTGGATTAACCATGTTTTCTTCAATACTTTATCAGTTATAGTCTTCCGGAAGTGCATTCAAAATAAAATCTATATAAGATTTTTTTATAATTTTATTTCTTTTTTTCGTTTATCATTAGTGTAATTTGGTTACGATGGACAGTGTGTTTTTTTAGAATATTATATTATTTGATTTTATGTTTTTAAAAAATTGCAAAATCATTTCTGAATCAATTAATACATACTTTATTAATTATTATTATCATGATCCTAATCATGATGCATTGAC